GCTTTCGATCCGCACTCGATTCATGCACCTGTGCCTTGTCCGCGCATTGTTTGAGGGCAATCGGAGTGTGTGTTTGGGGGGCAGGGATAGATACTGGACCTCTTGGTTGACACACTTGTGTATTTTCTAAACGTCTTCCACGAGTTATAGCTACACTGCTGACATGGAGTGACATGGGGAAGACGTAGCACCGTCCGTCCGCCGTCAGTCAGACATATTTGCAGAGCGCACCCGTGTTTCGTTTGTTGACACAATAGGTATAAATAAGTACAGGATTTATATCACACAAATGATATACTTAAAATGACATGCTAGTCAGACAAGTAGATGAGACCAGGATGAGACACATGAGACAGCCAAAATCCATGCGTAACACAAATTCTTAGTATTTGTCTCGAGACATTATTCTCGAGACATTATTAAAGAGCACTCCCGGAACACCTTCCCTGCAAGCTCGAGAGCACGAGCTTAAGTCCACTTAACCGAACACCCTTCCGCTTCGAGTGACACGTGGGCTGCTGTGGGCTTGTTCCGGTGGCTGCCTCGCCTGCTGTTGTGCTACGTGGGCTGGATAGGTGACAAGATAGTCAAAGTCATCTTGCTGTGGGTTGTTGCAGTTTGACTTGGTATGGACACTGGCTTTTGGAGCGCGAGACACGAGCTTCAGGTGACGCCTGTTTCGACGATAGGTCGTTCCTCGGTGACTGATCAGGTAGCTTCGAGGGCCTAGTCTCTTTGTTACCAATGCCTTCGTTTCCGACCACTGCTTTTCCGCTTCTGTTCTAACTCTGACATGATCACCCCGCTCCAGGACAGGCAGCGATTTGGCCCCGTGACGCTTCCGGTAGCGCTGCTCCGTCCTCTTCTTTTGCTGCATGTCTCTCGAACGGGCCTCTTTTAGTCCGTCCTCTTCAGAAGTGAGCTTGGGTAGTCGCGTCCGCAGCTCACGCCCCATCAGCATGTGAGCAGGTGAATGGCCAGTCGCCTCAATGGGTGTGGCTCGGTAGTTCAAGAGCGCTAGGTGTGGATCCTTTTGTTTGAGTACCCACTTCGCGGTGCGCACTGCACGCTCTGCAGCTCCATTTGCAGACGGCGTGTGCGGATCTGTGATGCGGTGACTGAAACCGTAGGTAGAGGAGAAGTCCCGAAATGTCTGAGAGGTAAACTGCGTGCCACCGTCTGAAGTCACACAGTCAGGGATACCGTAACGGCTGAAGAGCGACTTCAAGCGCTCTATCACTGCTGCAGCTGTGGTGCTCGGAAGCTTCTGTATCTCTATAAAGCGGCTCAATAAATCGACTGTGACAAGGTAGTCAGCGTTGGCATGATGACAGATGTCAGTTGCTATGTGCGACCATGCTTTCGTCGGCACTGCTGTCGATAGAAGAGGCTCCTTCTTCTGGATAGGCGAGTTGACTTGACAGAAGTTGCAAGCTGACACATATTGCTTCAAGTCTGCACCAATACCTGGCCACCACACCGACGCATGGGCTCGTTCTCGGCACTTCCCTATTCCGAAGTGGCCGTCGTCGTGGATTTTGCTGATGATGTCTGCTTTCATGCGAGTTGGTATCACCAAACGCTTACCATTCATGATCAGGGGCCCGAACGTCATGTGTAGCACGCTCAACTGACCTCTTTCCTTGAAAAACTCGCTGAGGGGGCCCGTCTTCGCACTCTCTCTCCATCCATTCTGAATTTGCTCTGACACTGCTCTCATCAGGTCATCCTCTTGCTGACATTTGCTGATCTCTTCCAGCTTCTTCACACTGGCAGGGAGGTCGCTGAACACTCCCGTACAGTGTTCGAATACTTCTTGTTGGATGACCTCGCCTACGTGGTCTGCAGTCATTTTCAGAGGATTCCTCGACAGATAGTCTGGAATACAATGTTCCTTTCCTGGCACGAAGACGGCTGTACCGTTGTAGTGCATGAGCCGCATCAACATCCTCTGGCATCTGAGAGGCGCGTCTTCCAGGTTCTTTGAATTGATGAGAGGGATGAGTGGTTTGTGGTCCAATTCCAGTCGGAACTCTGGAAGACCTGAGAGAAACATGTGGAACTTTCCACACGTCCATGTCGCTGCTAGCAGCTCTTTCTCGATCTGGGCGTATCTCTTCTCCGTATCGGTCAGTGTTCTGCTGCAGAATCCCACGGGCTTCATGCCTTTTCCGTGGCGCTGGAGGATACAACCTCCTATTCCAAAACTACTCGCGTCGGCGCTGACGACCGTCTCTTTTGATGGATCGAAGAATGCCAGCACGGGTGCCTGTGTCAGCAGATTCTTTACCTCTGCAAGTGCTTTTTCTTGCGGATACGACCAGTTCCATGCTGTATTTGTTCTGAGGAGCTCATTCAGTGGCTTCAGTGTTTCCTGCACGCGCGGAACGAACCTGCTAAGATGATTGATCATCCCCAGGAGTGATCGCAGTTGCTTTGTGTTTGCCGGTGCTTCTAGAGCTCGGATTGCTTCCAGCTTCTCTGGGTCGACTTGCAGTCCCTCCTGAGAAATCTTCATTCCTAGGAAGAGGACGCTAGACTGACGGATCACGCATTTCGACTGGTTTAGCTTGAGACCAGAGGCTTCAATGCGCTCCATCACGGCTTTCAACCGCGCGTCATGGCTCTCCTCGTCACCGAAGCACATGATGTCATCCATGTAGCAGATAACTCCTGGTAAATCTTTGAGAGTCTCTTCCATTTTTCGTTGGAAGCATTCCGGAGCCATGTTGAGCCCCATCGGCAGGCGGAGAAAGGCCTTTCTTCCAAACGGGGTAATGAATGTAGTCAGCAGAGAGCTCTCCTCGTCTAATGGGAGCTGATAGAATCCGGAGACCGCGTCTAGCTTTGAGAACAGCGTTGCTCCGCTGAGCTTTGATGTGAGCTGTTCCAGAGTCGGTATGGGAAATATTTCCCGTTTTACTGCTTTATTCAAGTGCTTGTAGTCGACTGTGATCCTGACCTTCCCTCCAGCTTTCCTGACAGGCACCATCGGGGAGCACCACTCTGTTGGGCACGTGACGGGTCTGATGATGCCCGCTTCCTCCATTCTGAGCAGCTCATCTTCAACAGGCTTCATGAGAGGGATCGGAACCTTCCGCGCCGACGTGACAGCACATGGCTTTGCCTCTGCAGACACCTCCAGCTTGACTGGTTGAGTTTTCATCAGGCCGATTTCTCCGTAGACGCTCTGCTGAATGCCGTCTACGAATCTCAGAATTCCCAGCTTGGAACAGGTCTCTCGTGATAGCAGGTTCTCACATGTGTCAACGACATAGAAGGCCTCCTGCGTCAGTAGCATCCCTTTGTATGAGATGTCAGCGCTGAACATGCCGACGATATCCAGTGCGTGTCCCACACTCTGCAGCTTTCTATCGGCTGGTTTCAGCTGAACTGGATCCTTGAAAGCCAGGAACTGACGTCGGGTAAGCACGTTTACGTCGGCACCGCTGTCAGCTTTAAAGGAGCACTGCTCTCCGTGGACAGCCAGCTGCACCCGCCAATCTGATACGCCGCCACTTTCTGTTTCTCTTAAAAATGTCATCTTCTCGCTTTGCTCTGTCTGCGGTGATGCACTTGTCTCAGTGACATGACCGGGAGCTTTTGAGAGACACACTGCGGCAAAGTGGTCTCGCCTCCCACACTTGGCACACGTTCTTCCACGGGCCGGACACTCACTGGGACTGTCGTGTCTTGCGCGCCCGCAGTATTTGCAGGTCGTGCTTGTACTTATGCTTGCTCTGTTTTGGTTTGGCTTGTATCTTGGCTGGAATTTCTTCTGTTGCTCATGCCCTTTGTGTGCTTTTTGTCTCTTTTGATAATGAGTTTGGTACACTCTTTGAACACTCCCGATTGGTTCCTTTGATCTGGTGTCACCCTCAATGATGTCCGTGTTTCTTAGCATCTGTATAACTGTATCGAGAGTAACAGCCTCTTCCAGCGCCTTAAGCTGAACCTTCTTTGAAAGTTCCTTGTCTTTCATCCCAGCCAATAACCGGTCCCTTAGACGCTCCTGCTTATCGGCGAAGTCACATTTATCAGCTTGCGTGAACAGGGCACGGATGTATTGCTCATTGGACTCCCATTCCGCTTGGTTGCGCTGTTCAAAGCACTGTCTTTCGGCGATGTGGTTTCGCTTCGGAATGAAGTATCCATCCAGCTTATCTATCACTGCTGCAAAAGTGTTTGCTTCACCTACGAAAGATTGCACTACGCCCTCGGCTTCGGGTCCCATGCTGTAGATGAGTGCTGATACTTGAATTTCTTCATCTTCTTTGTGCAGAGCTGACGCTAGTCTGTATCGCTTGAAGCGTTCTCTCCAGGCAGGCCACTGATCTGGCGATGTAAAATCGAAGTTATCTGGTGGCTTAAACGAACCAGGCATGATTGGCTCTTGGATGCCAGGTGCTCTCTGTTTGCTTTTCTTGCTTCTCTTGATTTCTTGCTTTTTACTGTTTCTCTTGCTTGCTTGACTTTTTATTTTTACTTGTACTGGATATGCTTGTTTCTTTTCTTTTGTTGAAATATTCGCTTCATACCTATACACTTGGTTGCTTGCTGCTTTGCTTGCTTGCTTGCTTTGTTGTGAATATTTCTCGTACCTAATCGTGTCTTTTGCTTTCTTTTTTTACTATCTTACGTTACATTTTACTAATGGAAATCCTGCCGGCTGCGCCATGTTTCGTTTGTTGACACAATAGGTATAAATAAGTACAGGATTTATATCACACAAATGATATACTTAAAATGACATGCTAGTCAGACAAGTAGATGAGACCAGGATGAGACACATGAGACAGCCAAAATCCATGCGTAACACAAATTCTTAGTATTTGTCTCGAGACATTATTCTCGAGACATTATTAAAGAGCACTCCCGGAACAACCCGTATGCCTTGTTTCCCGCCACCCCACCCACCCACCCACCGTGGCGTGCGCCGTGCCCAGTGTGCGGTGCCCTCCCCGTGCTGTGTGTACTGACGCCGTGCATGTCTCCGGCAGATTAAGAATATTAAGAAGGAGAGCTCGGCGGATGCCGTTCAGCAGGGTGAAGTGAGCTCATCGCTACCCGCACTGCCGGACTTTCAGCCGCTGCTTCTGAACGTGAGCATACCGGGACGGAGGAGAGGGACGGACCAGGGTAGGACAGGGCAGGCTTAGTGGGATAGGGCGGACTGAATGGGTGGTCCCTGCAATGTAATGTCTGCGGGATGACGTATAATGGGATGGATGTATGCCAAGAACAGAGGTGACCGGCCGGGTAACCACTGTACAGGTTAATGTAGTCGGTAATGGACGGCTGGACGGTACAGTACCAGTCGGGACGGCAGACGGCACCGGATAGACCGGCCGGTGAGGGTGGGGTGCACCGCTGGCGGAGGTGCCAGTCAGTGTGCACCGGGCGTCAACAGGTGCTCGCAGTTCGGGCCATAAATCGTGCGCGGGCCGTCATTAGCGCCAGATAAGTGGCGCTGTGAGGCGCGCTGACTCGGTACGAACGGCAGGTGAGCGGGTGGCTGATGGTAGGAGCGGCGCCCGCCACCCTTATGGCGCCGGCCGAGACGGTGACTGGGAATAGACGGTTGCTGAAACTGACCGTGATTGTGGGAGCCATAGTGGTCGTGCTAGATTCGCAACACTGAAGACGAAGTGTAGGACTAGGTTTTGGCCAAGGTTAGGTATTGGTCATCTAATTCCCTTCATCCCCTGATGTCATTATTGACCTCCTTTGGAGTCCTTCGCGATTGGGTCCTTTTCCTCGACCCGCTCCCTACCCTGGGACTCCGGCGTCGGCGTCGTCTCGCTGCTGACCACTTTCCGACGTCACGGGTGCGCCGGTGACGCGTCACGCGTCACGCGCCGGCCGCGTTCGTTATCAGCGCTCGGCTCCGGTCGGCGCTGACCACCCGATAACGGCCACGCGCGCTGCTGATAACGAGCATACCGCGCGCCCTGACGGGGGCAGCGGTTTCTCGGGTCTATACGGGGATGTTAGGGTCCGTTTCGAGAGATGGGGAGGATGTTGGGACAAGCTGGAACAGGCAGACTGTGGGAGTATGGACAGAGTAGGGAGAGAGGGAGGTGACTGCGCCTGCGCCGTCCGCCGTGTGTGTGCTGTGGGCTCTGTGTTTGTGTGCTCTCTGCTCTGCTCACTGTGTGTGTTTGAGGTCGTATGTCCGGCCGGCCGGCCGCCGTTTCCGGTCATGGCCCGCCCTCCCGTGACTCCGCCCTCACCGCCCCCGCCCCCGCCCCGCCCCGCCCCGCCCCCGTCATCTCAGGCGCTGGAAGCATTCGCGTTCTTCGTCAACTCCGAGTACCGCATCGAGTACGTGTCTGAGAACGTGACCGAGTATCTCAAGTACCGCCGCGAGGAGCTGCAGGGCAAGCTGCTGTTCAACTACATCCACCTGGGGGACCACAGCAACATCTCCAGCATCCTGGTCCCGATGATCCGCGGGCCGTATGGTGAGTGTAGAAGGAAATGGACAATTTAGACAAATTATACTGGCGTATCCGGTGTTCAGGAGGCGGAAGTCAGGTATTTCGTTTGGCAGTATCGGTGTGGCGGTATATAAAACGGATTTGTATTAGGAGTGCCTTGTCTACCGTTAGTTACAAAAAAACTTCCATTGGCTTTGAATCCGTGCAAGCTCGCTATCCAGCGGGGGTGTTACGCTGTGGCTGTTGTGGTTTACGGTGTTTGTTGGCTGGGCGTTTTTACGTCTGCAGTATGGGCTCCGGAGATATCTGCGGAGATTGTGATGGTGTGACAGTGATTTATGAGACGTGCTGTTTTAATCCGGGAGGGTGTCGCTGGGGTCGGCTGTGACTGCGGTGTTTGAGGTGAAGGGGTTTGTGCTGGATTGGTGTGAGAACGGTGTCGTTTTTCTTTAAGATAACCACGAAAATGGCTCTTTTTTATGACAGCATTTGAAATTGGTTTGTTATGAACGTAACAGTTCGGGGAAGCCCATTTGCGTTGTTTTAAACAGCAAAGAGGATTTGCAATTTAATTGAGCCTATGACGCGGCGGCGTTGTGCAGTCACATACAAACCATGCGCTCAATGTGGGGTTAAAGGGACTGATAAGGCCGTCTGTTAGTTGACACCAGGATGGTCCTAAGCTCAGTGTCTGCTGTGTGGGCCGCCGAGGACCCGTCAGTCGGTGGCCGCTCTCTCTCCCCACCTCGCCTCTCCAGCTGCACCTATTCCCCGCCGTCCCCGGTCCGCGGTCCGCGGTCCGCGGTCCGGCGCGGCGGCCGGTCCGGAACCGGTCCTGGCGGTCCGGCCTCGGGCGGCGGCGGCGGCGGCGCGCTGTCAGAGACTGTACCCGGGACGGCTCCGCCCGGCTCGGGCGGCACGGCAGAGCCCGCTTCCTGCCGTCCAGCCCGGCCCGGTCCGGCCCGGCCCGGCCCGCTCCACCGCCGCCCCGTGCTGACGGAGAGCAGAGCAGTCGGCAGACACCACCGGACGAAATTGGATGATGGTGGATGCGCCGCCCGGGAGCGATTCTGGCTCCGCGCCGTCGGCCGCTCCGCTATCTCCGGGCCACGCCGGTGGTAAATCAGACGGCGACTGAGGCAGTCCTGTTGAGTCCCCTCTCCCCGTCCTCCTGCCTCCGTGGTGCGTCTGTGTGGGGGTGGGTGTGCGCCTCAGGAGTGTGCTGCGGAGCGTGGCGCGCTGAGACGGTGCGATGGACCTGTGTGTTGCAGCCTACCAGAGCGATCCACAGAAGCCGCGCAGCGTAGTGTGTCGAATGCTCGTGAAGAACCCCTTCGAGAACACGGAGACGATGGAAGAGAAGCAGCAGCGTGTCAGCGAGTACGAGAACATGCAGGTGAGCCCGCCGCCCGTCTCCACACTGGCCGCCTGAAACGGGAGGCGTGCCCTGGGATGTCCCACTGTAGATTTTTGTCCAGTCCTGATTCGAGAGTGATGTCACGCCTGTGACACGGGTTTCCCATTAGTGGCGGGTGTGTGTGCGCCCGTCGGAGTAGGTGTTCCGATGTCGGGCGCGTTTCTCCACCTGTGCCCCTACATGCGGGTGGTTTGATTGGTGCGCCTCGTGGCTGATATTGATCCAACTAGAAATAGGCCCTGATTCCAACTAAAAGTGCTCCTGAGCCATCCTATAAACCCACCTGGGATTTCCGAACATAAGTCTGCGTTGTGTAATACGTACAACTATTGTGGCCTGGGAGTTATGTTAGCACATGCTTTAGCAACTTTGTTACCGTTACGTCAGCCAAAGAACAACGGAGCGAAAGTGTTTTCATCCCTTTCATCGGAATTTATCATGTTAAATTCATGCTGTATGCCTCATAGCGTCTTGGGCTTATGATGAGTTAGCTTCAGAGCTAGTCGTTTCCCCATGCAGGTAGAACGTTTTGACTGTATTGATTGGTTAGTGCAAAGGGGTACAAATTGCGGCTTATCTGCGTTCGTTCACACACAATCCATTCAATGGATTGTTCAAGAAAGTGACTGGAGTGTTCATGCCACTGAAGCATTTCGTTCCCAGATTCGACCACTGATATTCTAAGCGACCAGCCACAAGGTAAAGCGAAGAAAGGGTTATGCCTGTACTTGCGACGTGACCAGTGAAGTCCATCGCTATGTCCCTGACGCCTTTGCCTCTCCGCAGCTGTCCATTCTGAAGAGGATCAAGTCTCAGGAGTCGACCAGCTCTGAGCCGGGCCAGGACGGCGACGGCCACATGCTGCTCTGTCTGGCCAGGAAGACGGCAGAGGCCAAGGGAGGCGGCGTCGGCGCCGGCATCGGCGTCGGTCCCGCCGAGACGCTCATCACCCGACTCGACCAGACGGGACGCATCGTCGGCGTCGAGACGCAGAACCTGACGCCGGCGCACGCGCAGCACTTCACCCAGGTGCGGACGCCGACCGGACCGCACGGGTGGGATGACGAATGGGATGATATGAGTACTGGGGAACGCTACTGGTCGCTGTAAGTGAGGTTTTTCTTAGGGATGACATATCGTTGAGCTAAATTCTGCAGTCCTGCAGCCTAGTACATGAATCACGTCCTCCATAAATTATGGCGAGGTAGTGACTACCTATGCCTCACTGGGGTTGACCTTTGGCGCTGATCCGAGCTTGGCCGGGTTGTGATTTGCAGCGCCATTGCCGCTGCCCAGTTGATTAATTTTGGCCGTAAATGGTCTCTGGGAGGGCGTCGATCGGTCGCGGCCGGATCTGGACGGCCGATATGACATCGACGAGCCTGGGGCAACGTCGAGCCGAGTGGCGTCGGCCCGTTAGTCGTCGGCGCCGACCGTGGCCTGTTCCGGCGACTGACCTAGATTCGGCCGGGCGCTTCCGCCTATGGTTTGTCGTGGGAACCATCGCCAGAACAGACGGCGGAGCCGGCCAGCCGCTGTCACATACCAACACTGTTTATGTGTCAGGACCAGGCCTTTAAAGTTCAGTAAAAAACTGGGCCTCTGATGAACTATTAGGTAATATATATTTTGTCGCCGCCCATTTGAATTGTTGTACGAATCTTGGCGTCCTCTTTAATGTTGGTAGGTACTTGGATTTGTCTAAAATTTAGCGTTTCCTTCTACCACTCTTATACAGTCTACACTCTTGTATGTAAGTTTTTGTCATAACTTTAAACAGTTGAAGCAAATTTGTCATAAAAAACGTACGGGTCGCCACGCAAGATAGCGCAACAAACCCTTGATCTATCCGTCTAGATATCATCCCGTATCGTATCAGCCTGCCGGGTGTCCCCTCTCTCGGTACGGACGGGTTATCTCGTCCGCCCGGCCCCGCCGCCCCCGGCCGGTCCGCCGGCCACCTTCCGGCCGGCCGGAGGTGCCCCGCTGTCGCCGCCGGCTATATTTATCGGGGCCGGCCGCGAAATTGATCCGCACCGGCTCCGTGTGCCGCCCAGCGGCGATAGAGGTGCGCTGAGGCGCCGCCGCGCGCGATACGCCCCGCTGACCGGTGTGGCCGGGCCCGCGCTGACGCTGACGGTGCGCCTCTGTCGGCAGGACCTGGCCGGCCAGTCGCTGTTTGAGCTCGTCTGGCCGGCCGACCAGTCCAAGGTGGTGGCGCACATCGACAGAGTGGTCAACAGCAGCGACCCGGGGCCGCACCCGCTCGAAGACGTCCGGCTGCGAGGTCTGGTGGCCGGCACCTACTTCCGCGTACAGACGCGCACCAAGTGCTTCAAGAACGCCGACCACGGCATGTTCATCAACTGCATCCACACCATCTGCGGGTGAGTACGGCACGGCGGCGGGTGAGGTGGGGCGGTGGGGGTGTTCGACTGTCGGGGGTGGACAGAGGGTCGGGGTCGGGGGGCGGGCTGCTGTGGAGGCTGCCAACGCCGGCGGCTCGGGTGTGATAGTTTCGGCAGCGGCAGCGGCGGCGGCGCGTGGCTTTCCCCCGCGGAGGGAGGGGGAGGGAGAGCGGCCGGCCGCCGGCGTCTATCGATTGGTGACCTTGCTCGAGTCGACGGCCGTCGGTGGCCCTCTTTGTTGGCCGTCGGCGGCCGGGAGCGGCGCGTGGCGGCAGAGATGGGCCACGGGCCGGCCACGCGTCATCCCGTTGCTAGGCAGGAAGCGGAATTGGACGGAGGCGCGCCGTCGGTTCTTTGTGAACCGGGTAGGGCTTTCGAGTAGCTTCCACCGACAAGCGCCTTTATGTGTATGGGCGACTTGTGTGTTTAAAGGAACGACTTTTCGTATGACTCGCCCAGCTTCATAACTGCCGAACGTTTTCATGAAAGCTCGGTAAGGCGCTTCGGCGCGCGGTGAGCCGCTTATGAGACGTGGTAAGCCGCGGCGGCGGGTTCGTTGTGTAACAGGGGCCGGCCCGCCCAACGATTGCGGCGAGCAGCGCTCTGCAGAGGCGACCGACAGTTCCGCGCCGGGTGTGCCGCCGCGCCGACCGCGCTGTCCTCGGGCGGGGCCGACTGCGCCGATGGATTACCCTCCCCCGCCCCCGCCCTCGCCCCCGCCCGGCCCCGCCCTTTGTGCGCCTTTTTACGGGTGGCGGCGGTGGCGCCGCAGTCTCGGCCCACAGCGCGCGCGCGCGGTACAGCGTCATTAGGTGCGTTTTTGCCGACCACGACGGGCTCCGCCGATAGGACCGGCCTGCTCACTCAGTGTATGTGCACGGTGTCGCGCGCCGATATCGGCCGCTGCGCGCCGCGATCGTGCAGCGCTGCGCCGCCGCTGACGGGCCGGGCGCGTTTAGTCGGTCACCGGGCGGCCGGCGCGTGCACAGGCAGCGCTGACGGGGGCCGAGCGGCGCTGAATCTGCAGTGCGTGTGCGGCCGCGCGGCGGACGGGAGCCGGGGGTACGCGGCTGGTGTGTGCTCAGTGAGCCGGCCGCCGCTGGACGGGTGTGATTGCGGTGTGGAGTGGACCGTCCACCGGAGGCCCACCGCCGGGCCGAGGAGTCCGCAGTGAGTTCATGTTTAGCGCGTGGCACCGGCCGGCCGCGCTGGCGTCCGGCTGGGGCTGCGCGCTGGCCGCCCGGCCGCCCGTGCGGTGAGTTGCGGGTCGTGTACCCTGCCGGGTGGTGGACTTGTCAGAGTGTGTGCCACCTGCCGCGGCCGCTGCAGTGAGTGTTTGCCATGTGCTGATCCCGATTGTAGTCAATGTCCACAGTGCTATCAGTGCCATGTGCTAGTGTCTGTTTATCATCACATTGTGGCCTTCAAATTGATTATGCTCGAGTCTTGAAGTGACTACCCGATAAGCGTGCATCACGTGTAGCGCCGATTTGCCGTATCCCGGACCCACATAGGTATCCAAAGCTGGTTACTCATAAGCGCGTATCGTTTTGTGTTTGACTCTGAGTGGTCTCGTCTCTGTCTGTGTGGTCTCTGTGACTCTGACTCTGACTCTGACTCTGTTCCCTCAGGGAGGAGATGAAGCCGGAGCCGGCCTCCCCGCGCAGCGGCCTGCTGTCGCCCGGAGCCCAGATGGCCGGCCCGCGGCCCGCCCAGCGTCCACTCAGCGCCGGCCTCAGCCCCGGCGGGCCCGGCCCCGGCGGCGGCGGCGGCGGACCGGCGCCCGTGCACAGCGTCGGGAACAACGGCGGCCCGGCGTACTCGTTCAGCGGCCCGGTCAGCTCGCTCACCTCCATGGGCAACACGATCACGCTGAACGCCGGCGCCGGCGTGTCGACTCTGACCGTGCCCTCGTCGGACGCGTACGACAGTGATATCTTTAGTGAACTGTTCTCGGGCGGGCCGCTGGACGATTTCGGCGGCGGCGGCGGCGGCGTCAGCGGTGTCGGCTACTCGAGCGGCAGCACCACGCCGAGCACAGTGAGCGCGGCGGCCATGTCACGCGCGCCGCCCGCCGGCGGACACATGTACGTCAACACGAGCGCCGCCTCGATGGGCGGCAGCCGGCCCAGCTCGCGGCAGAGCCACAACTCGACGCCGACACCGCACCCGGCCAGCCTGCCGTCGTTCAGCCCGGCCGGCGGCTTCCAGATCAGCCCGCCGGCCAGCACAGAGTACGGCCGGCCGTCGCCCGCCGCAGACGCAGACGACGGCGGCCTCAAGGGCCTGCTCGGGCCGCGCTCCGTCTCCAGCGACGCGCTCGGAGAGAACAAGGAGAGCCTGCTCCAGGTGGGTACACGTGCCGGGGCGGCGGCGGGGGAGGGAGAGGGTGATCTGGGTGGGCCGGGCTGGGGAGGGAGGGCGGGGCCGGTCTGTGATCTGGTGGGCAGTGAGCACTGTTCGGGTTGCAGCTCCGATGTTCGGTTTGCAGTGACCGGAAAGTGGCTTCGTTTTCCTGTCGGGTAGTTGAACGGCCGCAGTGAGGGCACATCGGATTGATTTCTTTCTTTCGTGATGGCGTCATCCTCTCTGCAGCAGTAGCTTGTGTTCCATGACCCCCTGAGCGAACGGAGTCTTCTGGATTTAACTCAGGTCACGTTTTCCCTGAGTGCTCATTTTTTGCCGGCCCCGTCTTTGTCTTCGAGTGGATTGTTTTTGCGTCATTTTCCGCTGCATCACCGGTCTTTGGAAATCTTCTGTCTACAATTACTAATCGGGCGACGTGCTAGAGGGCATATCTAGCGCGCGGGCTCCTCCCTTCTCGCGCCGTATCTCTGTGATCGACTCGGTGGTATCTCGCGTGTCGCCGCAGCCTTGACTTTGTCACTGTGCCACTGCCGGCTGCGGCCCCGTTCGGGAATAGACGTGACCCACAATCGCGCCGCGGGCACGGCCCCCGCACCCTGGGCGCCGCGCCGCCGGCCGCCGAGCCACAAACCTGGCGCCCGAACAGCCAGCGGGCGCGCGCTTTTTCGGCGCGGGAGCTAAATGTGGCGCGGCGGACGGGAATAGCGCCGCTGGAGGTGCCGAGCTGGCCGGCCGGCCGGCCGGCCCTGCGCCGCTTCCTGCCGCAGCTCGGGGCCAGCCGCGGAGCTGAGAGTCGGGCTCTGCGGCGGGCGGCGCCAATGTTGCGGCGGCTCGTCTGCCGGCTGGCTGGTTCTGCTGCTCGCCAATTGTGAGAGCCGGCCGTCTCGGAATCCAGCCGGCCGATCCGGTGTCAGCGGCGCGGCGCGCGCGTTGCGTCATGTTGCGCCACCGCGCGGCGGTGACGCAGCCCGGTGCGGCGCTCACACGCGCGCGGCGCGGCGCTCCTTCCGCGATGGGCCGGATGGAGCGCCGGCCGCGTCACTCGGCCCTGACCTAGATCGGCAGTGGGCCAGGCAAATACTCGGGGCGGCCGGCGGGCGGGCGGCCGCCGGTGACCCAGATGGTGCCCGCGGCGCTGACAGCGGCGGGTCAGCTGACGGGCTGGCCCTGTTCCGGGTGCCCCGCCCGGTCAGCGGGTCACTCAGCGGCGCACGCAGCGCCCCGCCGATACCGATAGGATAGCGGCAGAGATAGCTGCGGCGGATAGTGCGTGTTGGCTGATCTTGTGGAGTAGTGAAACAAGAAGATAGGCAGGTTTGACAAACAAACCTGAAGCAAGAACCCGCTTTTTCACTAGGAATCTAGCTTTCGTTTTCTGGTCATTCGTGGCTCTCTTCTTTCCGGAGTTTGTTCCGCTGCTACCAGTGACAAGGTCAGTGACGTTCGGTTCCGCCAGTTTCACCAGTTCCGCCGGTCTCTGGAGGACGGAGAAGGGCCCTGTGTCGACTGCATAGAGTCACGGCGGAGTCGGGCCGACCGACCGACCGACGGCCATCGTCCGGCGGTCACTGGGCAGACTGGGTCGTTCCAGCGGGCAAGGTCGACTCGCATCGATGGACGGCGGTTGGGGAAGGTCCGTTCGAGAACGGCGCCGTTCTGGAGGTCAGGGAGTCCCATAGAACGACTGTGTCGGGCGTAGTGTGGCGCTGGACGGCTGTGGAAGACACGCTGGTTGGTTTTTTCACGGAGACTACGAGAGGGGTTGGTCTGAGCTTTGGTTTGCAGGCTTTGAGGGTCCGGCTGGTCCGTTCAAGTGATAGTTATTGAAGGTTTATGGTCTGGAGTGTGCTTGCCCACGGAATCGCGTATTGCACAACACAGCAGAATCAGTTTAAATGCACGGCGCTTAGTCTCGCCAGCGTCCCTGTGTGTCCCACCCCGTGGCTGTTGCTGGGGGCCGCGCCGTGCTGCGCCATTGACCCCCGTCTGTACAGCGGCGGGCAGGGCCGGTCGGCCGCTGATGCAACGGCTGCGGGTGGCCCGTGTGCCGCCCGTATGTGCGAGCCGGCCGGCGCGGCGCTGAGTGTGTGCTCAGTGCTCGGAACACGGTGACACGGCCAGGACAGCCCGGTCCGCCGGCGGCCGGCCGGTTCTGTGAACCCCTCCCCCCGAGCCGCGCCGCGCCGAGCCGCGCTGACTCAGCAGGCCGCGCCGCGCACTTTCTCCCGCGGTCCGGCCGGCACCGAGCTCGCTAAGCTGACGGCGCCGGCTGACGAGCCCGGTCCGCCCGCTCGCCGAGCCGCCCTGCAATGGTGGCGAGAGGTGGAGTAACACCGGCTGCCGAGAACCGCCCGTAGGCGATCGACGTAACTCGCCCGCTGTCACGGTCACCGGGGACCGGGTGCGCTCCGCGCCGGCGCCGAGCGGTGACGCGGCCGGCGGAGGCGCAGGGGGAAATCCGGCCCGGCCCGGCCGCTCGGTCGGTCGGTCAGTCTGGTCAGAGCGCGCCGCCGAGGAGGATGTGCACGGCGGACTGCAGCGAAGTCACGGCACAGAGGAGAGAGAGTCCGTGGGCTGACTGGAAGGAAAGCGTGACGCGGAGTGGATAGCAAGGTGTTGAGACATCAGTGATGAATGCAGTGATCAGTGCGGCGGAAAACTGCGAGTGGAACGTGATGAAGAATGACGTGTGGAATACTGAAGGTTATACGGCCGACGACGTCTGGGATGTCTTGGACAATATCATTGGGAACAGCTCGTTGAAAACGGTAAGTATTTCTGCGGTGGGCGCGGCGAGCATTCGATGAGCGCTGCCAGCTGTGTAAATGTGACGGCTCGTGACGGAATGTGTCATCACCTGACGGGCGTCACGACACCGCGTGACGGTGCACCGGCTGCACACGTTCACGGCGCAGCTGTGGGCAATGTGGCGCGGCGCATACCTGAGCGGGGTGCGGTGTAGGACGTGGGCATGACTGAGGGTAATGCTAGAAGGTTCGAGTTTGTCTGACTTGTGGATGATCACATTTTCCGCGATGATCTTGGACGGCCAGGCTTGTGGGACATAGGTTGAGTGATTTGATTGGTTGGATGCTGAGATCGGTCGGATGATTTACTTGATTGAGAGTAATTGCCAGTCCATATTGTTCAATCGTTTCTCTGAGTAACGGGGTTTGATGGAGGCAGCCGTTGGTTACCTACCAATTTTTCGATCTCCGCCGACTCCTCACATCTCGGCCCGTCCTCGGACCATCTGATGACGGACTGATGGCGCTTCATCTGATGACGGCCTGATGGCGCCTCATCTGATGACGGTCTGTCGGAGCCGATCACGTCGGCCCCGGGCGGCTCTGGGCCGGTAATTAGCGCCCGATCGAGGCGGCGCCGCGCTATGTTGGTGATGCGGCGGCCGAGCCGACCCCTGATTGGTCGGCGGCCCATCGGTCGACTGATGGCCCGACCAGCACTGACAGCCGACGGATGGGGGCTGTAAAAATACCGCCATCTTGCCCGGCTGAGACTCCGGCTTTTTACTGTCGGCAGACACACTCTGTCGGGCGTGTGATCGCTCCGACAAGGTGTGACGTGGCAGCAGGCAGAGACCTGCTGGCTGTTGTTGGGGAATACCGATAGGAGCATGACTGCGCTGCACCCCACCTTTCCCGGCTGATAGATAGGCGAGTAGACATTACGGTGTTATTTTAGGATCACACGTTTCAGCTCTGATAACGATCATCTGAGGTTGATTTCTGTGTAATTGACCGGAAGAGGCTAAATCACTTTGCTGTCCAGAGCCTTATTCACTGTAAATAATCGTGCAGGAATAATAATGTCCATACGCTCGCGTGCGTGCTGCACCTATTATCTAAGTGTGATTTATGTCGCAAATTACTAGTGATAGTATGCCATGCAGATTGCAGACGGCTACAAGCGTTGGTTGGAAGGCTTGTCCGTTCGCCATACCCATCTTGAATAAACTTCCCGACGCAATAGCTAACCAGTTTCGCTCCGATTCCATGGTCTCCACCGATCGTGATTTGTCCTTGAACTACCTCGGCCACTCGCTGTTCCTCTGCGGGCCGCCCCGGGCGCCTTCCGACCGTGGGCTGAGAGCGATTCATCGGGCCGGCTGTCAACACTTTCTGTTTCTACGTGTCCGATGACGAATAGCTCGCCCTGATTGGTTGGCCTGTTTCTCGTTAGAGGCTCCTCGCTTGGTCGGGGATACTCGGCTACCACACCTGGTAGGTATGCTCTGAGATGGGTGGAGAGTGATTCGAACCGTTTGACTCGTAGACTCCGTACTGCGAACTCTCCGGTTCGACTCTTAGTTTGAGCTTCCGCCTTATTGAATCGGATAGCGCCTCAATGTGATACCCACCTCGTCACTCCGCTGTAGGTGCGCGCTGAGCCACACCGTTGTCGTCTGCGCCTCTGTGACGATGTTACGTCGCAATCGCCCGCGGCACGCGCCCGTTTCAGAAGTGTGTGACGGCCATGGTCACGCATGCACCAGGGCCACTATCGCGCGCACGATGCGGGCAAAAACACCCCCGTGTGGAACAGCGCCGGCGCCGCTGTGCCGCTCTGGGGCTCTCCGGCGCGGTGGATGTTTTTCTGGCCGCTGAATCACGCCGACACCGGGCCGCCTCGCCGGCTTTGTTGTGATTCGGCAGCACCGTTACGTCTGCGACATGTTTCCGGAGCGGTGTCTCGGCGCCGGACCAAATTACCATCCGTAATTGAAGGTTATTAAAGCGGTAATTGTGACGTAATGCTTCCGGTCGCGCTGCGCCCTGGTGGGAAGATGAGGATTGAGGAAGTGTTTTATTAGACGTCACTCGGTGTTGCGTCACGGTTCGGGTAGGCTGTCCTTGCGCTCCGCTCCTGCCCTCCCATGGGGTTCGCTTGTTGCCAAGCCGGGGCACTGCGCCGTTCTCTGTTCTCCGTAGCTCGCTCGCCGCCCCCGCCCCCGCCCCCGCGCGCGCTGCCGCCCGCGCCTTGCCTCTGCGTTGTCGGCCGTGACAACAGGGCGCGAGCGGAGCTGGAAGTGAGCCAGCGTTAGTCACAGAGGTCGGTTTGAGCCGGCCGGCGGCTCTAGCCCTGATGGCGGTACCCCATGGGCCGTCAGTCAGGCAGCGGGGGTCGGCAGCGCCGTCATCCTGAACTTGTTCACATTGAACTAGAAGTTCCCGTAACAGGTGGACGAAGTGACGCGCACACTGCTCAGTCATCTGATACATATCTGTGTCAGCTGTACTTGTGGTTTCATTGTCAGTGGGTCATTAGGGCTGCGATATGTTCAAGTGGTGCGTTCATGGCCTGATTCAGACGTCCCCTCCAATGTGTCATCAGTTGTGATATATCGAGACTGCCGTCTCCATAAGAGACAACTCTGTCGCCGGCGTCATCCGAGTGCCATTAATATCGCCGCTGGCTGTGGGACGACAGTGTGTCATCAATCTCAGCGCGGTGACGCCGTCATCGTCACCGGGCTCCATCAGCGTCACCCGCGCCGTGTGATGTGACCGTCAGTGCCGCTGATGTGCGGACCTCGTTAACCGTTACTCTGTTCTCCCTCAGGGCGGCCTGCATGGCCACGATGATGACGGCGGTCAGAAACTGCTGCTGGGAGGCGGCGCAGGAGGCGGGGGAGCAGGAGGAGCCTCCAAACCCTCCTCGGGCGGCAGCGACAAGATGCTCCGCCAGCTGCTGGACGAGCGCAACGACCACCGCACCAAGACCAAGAACAACGAGGAGCTCATCATGTTGCTGAAGACGGGCGGCGGCGCTCAGTCGAGTCAGCAGCAGTCTCAGCAGCAGCAGCCGCAGCAGCACATGCTGGACCCACTGCGGCGGCCCAGCGGAGGGTGAGCACCGGACGACTGGCTGCCAGAGGGACCCAGAGGGCGGGGCGGGAGCGGAGTGACGAGCTCAGTAACGTTTTTGTCCTAGAGTCGGCGATATTTGTCGTAGGGTCATCCAGCTGGCTAAATCTTGTGGTTAATGAATTTGAGTATCCTGCTGTCCTATCTATTGTTCTCTGGTGACTGTATGTGGCCGGCTCAGTCATCTGTAGCCTCTGGTGACGTCTGTGGCCCATCCACAGCGCGTCGCCGCGCGTCAGCGAGCCTTTCAGCGACTTCACTGCCCGAGACCTGCTGCGAGGTCACAAACGGACCAGCCAGGACGGCGACTCGGACCCGCTCAGAGGGGTGAGTGGACCGGACGGGGGGACTAGCGACAGAGGATTCTGATGACCTGCTCCGTTGTGAGTCTGCTGAAAGCGATGACAAGCTTTTGAAAGAATGTTATATCTAAACCCTGAACTTTTCCGGACGTCAGAGCTTCTTTGTCAGTTTGATTGACTGTATCCCTGTTCGGCCCGCAGGCCAAGAAGCCGGTGCGGTACCCCAGCGGCGGCGGTGGAATGATGGACCTGGTGCACGCCGGCGGCGGCCAGGACGCCAGTCCTCACGGCCTGCCGGCCAACAACAAGATGCTGGCCACCCTGCTGGCCAACACGTCCAGTCCGAGCCCCACGGTGCCCACCACCATCGCCAGGGTGAGTCGCCGGCGCGGCGCGGCGCGGCCCGTGGACAGGGGGTGTGCCCGGGTGGGACAGGGATACCCAGAAACCTAGCTGACCACTGGAAGCCAGCGTCTGGGCGCGGTGTCCATCCCGGCCTTGAAAGTAAACATGTACTTCATCGTGCAGCTTTATGCGTCCAACGGGTGGTTTGTTTGTTATTTAATGGTGATTTAGTTGGCTATGGTCGGAATGGTTATCATTATGGTGGCCGTAATTATATACCTCGTGTAATTCTGCCCGTCTGCGCAGGATGACATTATGTGCTCGTTATGTGACCTGCGCTCCTCGTCATGTGATCTGGCGTGGTGCCTGTCCCGTGACCTGATCTGACCAGACGTGTCGGTGTGTCGCTCGCAGGTCCGGCCGTCCGACCTGCCTCAGGACAAGCTGCCGCGGCCCGACGAGCTGCGCAGTAAGCTCAAGGACCAGGGCGCCCGGTCGCGCGGCCCGAGCGGTCCCGGTCCGGGCCCCAGCCCCGGGCCGGGGCCGGGGCCCAGCCCGGTCGGCGGCGGCCCGCTCACGCCGCTGTCGGAGGGGGCCGACCCGATGCTGCTGCTGGGCCCGGGCCGGCCGCAGCAGCAGCAGCAGCAGCCACCGCTCTCCCAGCAGCAGCAGCAGCAGCAGCCCCAGCAGCCGGTGTCCATGGCCACCGCCGTCGGTGAGTGGGTGGTGAAGGACTCCATGTTATCCTGTGGCACCCAGAGCTGCCCCTACGACGCCATACATTGCTATTTTTTCAGATACACTTTCGTTTCCCCATCCGTTCTGGGACCCGAATTATTGATAGTGATAAATCTTTGCAACAGTGAAGTGGTTATGCGACACATAAGTCTTGAAGCTGAACGACGCATCTCCGATGAAACCAATGGCATTTGGCGTTGGTTGTCTTATGGTATTCACACTCACGTACTGATAGAGAGCCGGTGAGAGGACTGCTCTCAGCTCACTCCTGGATAAAATATGGACCGGCCTGCAGTGCTGTCGTGTGGCGGTGTGTCCGGCCGGCCGGGCCACTGCCAGTCCGCGGCACAGCGTTTATCCGCCGCACCACGGCCGGACGTAAACACAGAGCGGCTGCGCGGACGGTGACAGCGCCCTTGTGACAGTGGCAGTGGCAGTGGCGGAGCCAGCCAGAGCTGCAGTGGTGGCAGTATCAGCGCGGTGACAGTGGCAGGGGCGGTGCCAGCGACAGAAGCGGTGGTGTTCGTACTAGTGATGTCAATTTCAGAAATTTTGGAAACCAATACCAAACCGATACCGACCAAAACCATTGAGAGTATACCAAAACCGAACCGATTTTCAGAAATAGGGTGAAATACCGACTAGGTACCGAATTGAGGGAACCATCAAACAAATGCTTCAAACTTTCTCAAAGCAAATGATAAGCATTAAAAGGTAATACTCTAAAATAAGGCAACAAAAACAAGTCAGGAAATCTCTAAATTATTTTCACTGCAAAAACATATAATTGTATTGTGTAACTATTAACAAATATTCAGGTCAGTTACTTAACTGGGATGTGGATTCAAGTCATCTGCATGAGGTGATAGGACAAGAACTTGAACCCTGAATCTCATCCATGCCTGAACCCAAGTCAATTCAATTCGAGTCCAGTCAAGACAGGGTTACGTATGTTATCATGATCCAAAAATGGAAACCAAATGACAATGATGGGCTGGGCTATACCATTAATGTAAACAAAATCCATGATACCTACCTACAGTTCAACTCTCAAGAAGCGATGGTGACGATAGTGACGCAGCCAATTTTTCATCATAAATAAATGTTTAACACAACAAATCTTAATAAACAATTACTTACGAGGCACACTGATAGATAGCAGACACCACTGTAATGATATCGCGATGAAAGCTAAGTAAAATGTCCATAATTTTAAGGAATCATTGACACGTGTCACGTGGCATCACTTCCACAATGGCAGCCTTGCAGGCGGCGGCCATTTGCATTTAGGCACGAAACGCACGGAACTGCATAAAATAAAGTTTTTTTCTTTTTTGCTTATGTAAACTTAATTAAGAAATATGATGTTCATATTTTGGTATCTTTAAATTAATTCAAGAAAGATTGTACGCCGCTAGCGCTAAAAAATGAACCAGAAAACAATGTTGCTCAATTATTTTAAATTAGTTTTGAGCTACATCGAAATTTGGCGCAGATGCGACATTTAAAAGTTCTTAGATGTGTTCAGTTTTAAACTGCTAATTGCGAATCAAGCCAAGACCCAATTATATTTTAGGAATGCTTTTGATTACATTGCTAGCGATTTCTATCTGTTGAGGAGATCAGGAAAGAGAACACTAAGTAAAGAAAATAGATTATCCACAGGATCTTTTTGAAGTTGAACGCAGAACGAAGTTGAGAATTTGTGGGGTGATGATGAAGTGATGAATGCTGCCTTCAATATTAGATGATATTGGTGAAGCTAGTGCTATAAAAAACAGGGTTTTGACTTTTGGATAATGTAACCGCATTGCAGTGAAATGGAGAGCAAGACAAGGTCAAGATCAATCACAGACTTCTCAAAACAAAGTCAAATTTGTTACCAATGAATGCTTTGGAAATTTTGAGTAAGGTAGTTAGAGTATGTTTTCCAGTATACAGTGAGTTAAACATTGATACATGTTTAATGTAATGTATGTAATATTTAATGTATACATGTCTTGCACATTATCTTTTTTGTAAGATAATTATCCTCATGGTATTGGAATTTGCTGGCACTGATAAGTTGCCCTTTAACATTGGTAGACTGATGTGTTTGATGTTGCAGTTAACGTGTTTGCCCATTTGTTATGACATCATGCATTTGGGAGAAATGTGTCATGATTGTCCTTTTTCTTCATCCAATGTCATTTAGCAAATCAAATTTGAGTTCAGAAGGTTTGTAAAAAATGTTTAAATTTTTTATGACAGTATAGTTGACTTTCATAATACCGACAAAATACTAAATGCTTTTGGTATAAAATACCGAATACCGAATCGGTATCGGTTCGGTATTGGTATACCGAAATTTTGGTAACCGATTGACACCACTAGTTCGTACCTGTGACAGTGGCTGGAGGGACAGTGACAGTGCGAGTGTTTGTGACGGTGCCTCGCCGGTGTGACTGGTGGCGGCCACAGCCGCGGCCCCGTCCGTCGCCGGTAATAATTGGATCGGATCGGACGTGACGAATCGCCGCCATCTCCGTCTCCGCCGCCGCCGCTGCCGCCAAGTCGCCCCGTGACGTCACCGGGAGAGAGTGCATACCGGCCGATCGACGAAACTACCCGCCGCCGAGATGCCTCACGACAAGCGCATGCCAGTTACGTCGGGTTGATTTATGAACGTGACCCGTGTGACGTCACAGGGCAGCGGCGGCTTCTCGGGCTACCTTCTGTGCGGGCTGAGCCGGCGTGGGTCGGCGGTGTCGCGTAGTTTGGCGAATTGCGCACCGGTGGGGGACAATGCCCGGTCGGCGGGAGGCGCGGCTGATTCACGATCGGCGGCCGTTTTCCCTGCCGTGACCGGCCGGTGGTACCGCTCGCGCCCGGTCCGGACGCTAAAAGTACGGCCGACCGGAGTCGGTGGCTTTACGGGGAAGGTCGTTGCCCCGGCGAGCTGTGCGGTGGGCGGTGCGGTTAGTCGGTGGACGGCTTCATGAGCGGGGTGTTACCGCGGCCGCACTGTTGGGTGTTTGGCTGGGAGCGGCAGCCAGCAGTGGTCCGTGCGGAATCCATTGCCGCAGCTGTATCAGCTGAGTCCCTTTAAAATTCTACGGTATGTCAGCGTGCGTTCGTCGCCCTAGAGTTCGGCCAGGGCTGTGGGATAAACTAGCCAACCAAACATTATCAACGACGCTAAGCATTCCCTGTATGTTTGTCAGTGCGAGACCGATACTGGAGGACGGCACTCATCTGGAGTCTCATCTACTGGAGTCTCATCAAGGGAGATCGATATCACTGTTCAGAATGCGCCGCTCGTGTGTCCGCCACTGACCGCATACGTCTACTGTCCCAGGGCTTGTTTCGCCTCACCCTGAGCCGACCCGCCAGTGACCAGTCCCCCGTCCGTCCGCAGGTCTGCAGTCGCAGCTGGGCCGACTCTGACCCGTCAGTGACCTCTGCTTCTGTCCGTCCGCAGGTTTGCAGTCGCTGGGCCGGCTATTATCCGTGAGTGACCTCTACCTCTCTCCGTCCGCAGGTCTGCAGTCGCAGCTGGGCCGGCCGATGTCGGCTCCCATCAACCACGACGGTCCGCCGTCGTTCTTCCAGAGCCAGAGTCTGCCGGCCGGGGACGACCAGCAGGAGCTGGACAACATCCTCGACGACATCATGAACTTCGAGAGCCAGCGAGACGGCGCGCAACGTGAGCAGCGCGGCGGGGAACAGAGGGCGGGGCGGGTAGAGTGGTAGACCTAATGGCGGATAGCGATAAGAGAGGTCAGCTTATATGAAATTAGTCAGCTTTTGAACATACCGTTGGGTTTTGGATCTCCAAAATCCAATAATCCAACGGTTATTGGGTTTTGAACAACCGTCCTCTGTGATAAAAATTAATTAAACATTTTTTTGTGATGATGTATTTTGGCTTACCATATAATTATTTGATTTTGGCGTGCGTATGCATTTTTATTGCCATGTGTTTTGAATATACCATTATTTTCTGTCGGTGCCGCCGGCGCCCCGCCCGTTGATAGCCTTCTGACTCTGACTGTCTCCCCTAGGACAACCGAACGGCGGGCCGCGACTCACCGAGCCGAGCACCAATAACCTGGTCAACGAGCGGATTGCCGAGATCCGCCGCTCGCTGATGCAGGCCGAGTCGACCATCGCGCGGCCGGCCTTCACCTCCATCGTGAGTCCGCCGCTGGTGCCGGGGGCGGCTCCTCGGCTGGTGGTCCGTGAGGGGTGGGAGAAGGAGGGCATATAGTCCTTCAGGGATGTGGTCTTATAAATCCTGGATCCTGGTGCAAAACAGTTTCTTGTCCTGAACGTTTTTTGGCTGATAAGTTGTAAGGTTTCTGCTGCCATTTCCGCCGTATCGATCCTTAGTTACTTTGATTACCTCCCTACATCAATGCATCAGTGATCTGCCTGTTTGCCGCCCGCCTGCTGACCTGTTCCTGTCCCTGTTTCATCCTCCCATGTCCCGCTGTCCTGTCCGGGTCGTCGTCACCAGCCGGACGTCTGCTCGGCCGGCGCGCCGCCGAGCTCCGAGCCCACCTTCTCCCAGGCGCCCCTGCCGACTCCTCTCGGCGGGCTCCAGCACGGCCTGTTGTCCTGCTCCATCGGCCCGACCGGACCGGGCTCCTCGCTACCCCAGCCGACCGGACCGGGCTCCTCTGCACCCCTCCCGACCGGCCCCGGCGGCCCCCCACAGTACCTCCGGGGCTCCGCGCACTACGACACCCGCCTGTCCGACTCCGGGTACTCAGCGGGGTGTCTGGCCGGCTCGGCTGGTGACACCGGCCCGCAGTTCTCTGGTCCCGGGTTCTCCTCTGTGTCGCACCTGCCTCCCATCCCTCCCAGCTCCAGCGCGGCTCCCGTCCCCCACCTATCGACCTACCTCAGTGCGGCGGGCCCCCAGCTGCCCTGCTCGGGTCCGGTGGCCGCCCACTCGGCTCCCTACCTGCCCGGCTCCTCGGGCCCCTACCCGACCTACATGCCGCCGCCGGGACCGGCCGCCACTCCCCCCGGCTCCCACCGGCCGGCCGGTCCGCCGCCGCCGCCATCCACCGACCGCCTGCCCAGCTTCGAGCGCGTGCTCCGTGAGCTCGAGTGGCTGGACCACTGCTCCTCCTGACGCCATCCGCCGCCGCCCGTCGGCCCGCCGCCGCCCGCCGTAAGACTCGGATCCTCACCTCTCTCTTCGGAGTCAGCTGCTTCAATCATTTGTTCCTGATATCATTTGCTCCTTCTGTCATTCGCTCTTGCTGATATCCTGACATGTTACTCCTTATTTCGGTACATAAGAATGTCAGATCTTCCCTGAACTGGTTTGAAGACGACCGCCGACTGTACCGCTCCGCCATCCGCCAATTAACACGCTGACCTCGTCTCCGTGTGTTTGTGTGAACAGCCCAGCGGTGTGCCGAGCTCGGCTGCCGGCTTCCCGCCGCCCTACCAGCAGCCCCGGCCGCGCGGCGGCTTCACCTCCCAGATCAACATGGTCCGGTCACAAATGTCACACTACCCAGGTGAGGCGGCGACGCTACAATGGTCTCGGGAGACCGTGGGTGAATTTTGGGAATCTGGCCGGCAGCTGCATTCGCAGGATCTGTATTCTCAGTTTTCTTCAGTAAAGCTAAGTAGTGCTGTGTAGCTACGACACCCGGTTAGAGCTGAGAGGCAGCAATATCTGCGATAACGGCCTAGTCTGTGTTGGAGGTAATGGCACGCCCGCGTGGGTGTCGCGTCAGCCGTCTGACTCTGCGCGCCTCTCTCCAGTCTCGAACCAGCCGCGGATGACAAACCACCAGATGGCGCAGCGGAACCGGCTGCTGGACCAGCAGCAGCAGCAGCGGGTGCTGGTCAACAACGCCAACCGCGGCGACATCAACGTTAGTTACCAGAACATCGACAACATCCTCAACGCCACGCCGCCCAACGTCTCCCTGCAAGTAGGTCTCCAGGTCGGTCTCAAACCTCTGGCTCTCTCCCCGAATACGTCTCAGTGGTCTCTATGTCCGCCATGGGTATAAGTCCGGTTTATCTCACCATCTGTCTGTCGCTGTGCCCCAGTTCCCGCCCCGCCCTCCGCTGTCCCCCAACTGACCCGTCCCCGCCCCTCCCCACAGCAACGTCTGACGGGCGGCAGTCAGGAGTCACAGGCGTCTCCCAACTACAGTTCGGCCGTGGGCATGTCGCCGCTGGGCCAGATGCCGTCGCCGGGCCAGCCGCCGTGTCCGTCGCCGCACAGTCCCAGTCTGGGCGGCCAGGGCGGCTTCCCCGGGTACGGCGCCGGCGGCCAGGTGTCGCCGCGCGCCGCGCCCGGCGCCGCCGCGCAGCCCGGCGGCGGCCCATCGCCCTTCTCCGCGCAGCTGTCGCCGGGCGGGCCGCCAGGCACCCCTGGCGGCGCTCAGGCGCGCGCCGCCGCCGTGGCCGCCGGCAAGCTGCAGCAACAGAACCCCGAGCTCAACGCCCAGCTCTCGGTAAGCGAGGCTGTGTGTCTGCGAGAGGGGACCCCATGCGCGGCCGTCTTTGTGTCTGTGTCTGTGTAAGGGAATCCCGAGCGCATCCTTCGGTGTGTCTGAGTGTGAGAGGGAAGGGAAATGGGTTATGGGGATGCTGATTAGAGCTGGCGAAGTATTGCAGTTATCAGCAATGGATTGGTGATTGTTACGCGAATGTTGACGGCTTTAATAGCGTCGTCATTCGGGGAACTGCTGCTCATAAGTTCTGGCGAAGTTTGTCCATTGTCAAGGTCTTGTTAGCCCAGCCAGAATATGGTGCTTCGTAGAACACAGCAACTTGTGTACTTTAACGGTCGATGGTGAAGTTTGTTGACAGACTTTTACAGTTCATCTCATAGGATGACGTTTTATGGAAATGGCTATTGCCGCGCAATACATTCTGCATGTGTTTGAAGATCAGCTCCTGAACAAAACCTCGGGTCAGCCGGTGAACTTATCGCTCGTAAACTGTCAAGTTAAGCCAGCTGTAAGAGTATACGTTAAAAGTGGAATGTTAAATAACAGTTTTATTTATAGCATTACCCTTTACCCCCGTCGTAACGCCCCCTTCCGACGGCCTTTCAGTGTCCGGCCGGGTCTGTCGTCTCGATTTAACCCGGGAAGGGGGCGCGATGGGATCCCTGACCTGACCTGTGATCCGCCTCCTCGGCAGGGCACGTTCGGAATCCGCGGCCAGAGCTACCAGCTGCCGCAGCGGAACACGCCCATGCAGCGGTCGCAGCAGCCGTTCCCGCCGTCTCCGCAGCAGCAGCTGTACCAGCAGCAGCAGGCGCAGGCGCAGGCGCAGCAGCACGCCCGGCTGCACCGGCAGAGCTCGGCGCCGCCGCCCGGCGCCGCCGGCATGCCAGGTGAGTGTCAGACGTAGACCGGCCGCGGCCGACCGACCCCGTATACCCTTACCAGTAGCTCGGAATGCCGATGCGAATTGACCTGGCCTTCTGTCCGACTCTCCCGCTGTTCTGTCTCAACAGAGCGGCCGCCGTGCCGCGCTCTTCTCTCTCCTCTCTTTCTCTGTCTGTCTCTGCCAGTGATGGCGGCGCGCCACGTCACTGAAGGCGACCTTTGCCTGCCTTCTGCCCCATGACTATCGATAGTGGCTCGTTGACCGCGAATGCGCCCGCCCGCCCGCCCGGCCTGTCTCACCCGGTGATGGACGTACCCTGCTGCCCCGCCCCGCGCCGCGCCGACCCGCCGCTCGCGTGACGCGCCGTGACCGCGGCCGCCTCTTCCTGCAGGGGTGCGGCACTACGGCGGCGACCAGCTGCCGCGCCTGCTGTCGCCGCCGGCCTCCCAGTCCTACCTCCCGCAGGGCTCCTACCCCCCGGCGCACCCGGGCCTGGCGGGCCACCCGCCGCCGCCGCCGCCGCCTCACCCGCACCCGCCGGCCCAGATGGACATGTACGCGGGTCCCGATGACCGGGTCCGACCCCCGCCCGGTAAGTGTCGGCCGCTCTCCGTCCGTCCGTCCGTCCGTCTGTTGCCGCTGTACACAGCACCAGCACCGAGCGCTGCGCACTGAGCACCGGCCAGCCGCGGCCGCCGAGCATGCAGCGGCTCCGACCGCCCGTCCGTCCGTCCTGCCTGCCTGCCTGTCTGTCTCTCTGTCTGCCTGTCTTCCACTGGTCCGTCGGTGTTTGTACTAACCGCTCGGGTGGCTGGCGACTGTGCATGGATTCCCTGCGATGGGCTCCACTAACCGGACCGAGTCTCGCCGGCCGGCCGCCGAGCGGCGCCATCGTCGGGCTGTGTGAAGCCGCTGCTGCGATGGAGGCTGCTGTCACTGCCGGGTGTCCACGTGCTGTGTTGGAGGGAGGTCCTCGGCCGGAGCACTTTCTCGGGTCTGCCGGAGGGACTGCCGGAGGACACTGGCACTGCTGTCAGCTGCACAGGCCATGGACGTTTGTGTGGATTGTTTGTCCTCGGCGGCCGAGAGGGATTTCAGGTGCTTCGCCGCGGCGGCAGTGCCTGGCTGTAGAATACGCACCGGCCGCGGGTGAGGCCGGCCCTGCACCGAATGGCTGGGACACTGTCTGTGCGCGTGTCTGTGGTGAGGTGTCTGTACCGCAGCACGCACTCGCTTCTGTGGGCAGGTCGGATCGTGGCATAGCTTTGTCCGCGATCGGCAGTGTCTCCCGTCATCACGTGGTTTGTGTCGAGCACTGTTTGCCAGTTGATAAGTTATTGTTTAAGTTATTGGCTAGGGACTGTCGATACACATAGGTTCAATTTGGAGATGTCTTGTCGTCAGGAACTTAGATTCTCGAGACTTGATTTCTGATGTAGTGTACGCCAGAACCGTATCACCTTTCGCACACGAATTATCACGCATTCTCGCCTTGCTCAGGACTTACCACCTTATTCAGCGGCACATTTGGACACATGGCGTCGGCCTTTCCTCATATCACCCTCGGCACTGTTCCGGACTCGCCTCCCTCACACACTACGTATAGAGTTAGGTAATTTAGTCTCGATGAGAAACACCATCCTCAAAGCAGCACATTGTCACAGCTCCTGTGGCGTATCATCCGTCCCGCCAAAATATCTGACGGCGCCTTCACACCTCACCGTATTCGTCACCCCCTGACCTGCCCCCCCCCCCCCCCCGTCCGCCCTGTTCGCCCTCCCTGCCCCCTCCCTCTGCGCTCGTCCGCCCTCCCGACTGACCTGTCTCGTCCCTCCCTGCAGGCTCTCAGGCGGGTCCGGGCGGCGCGGCCGGTCCGCCCTCGGGCACGGCCGGCGGCGGCTCGTCGGTGTACGTGCGCCAGGAGCTGCGGCGCAGCATCATCGGGCAGCGCCAGCAACCGGGCGGCCGGCAGCTGACCCAGGACGACCTGGAGGAGTTCGGCCTCGAGGTGCCACTGCCAGGTCAGTGGCCGGACGGCGCTGGTGCGGGGGAGAGGGACGGTGTCACTGGCGAGGGATTGAGGGAGCTGAGTGGGTAGGAGTGAGTGGAGTAGGACGCGGTGGAGCCGTGGATGTTTCTGCACGGGTATAGTTACTATGGAAGGGTGGCGATGTGGTAACGAATTTATTTTATGATAGTTTCATTCTTCAGTGTTGTAAGCACCAGTCCCCTGATCTATAGCTGCGTTGGCCGCCTGATCCGTCCCCGTGCTCAGCGACCCTGTACCCTCAGTGTGTAACTGACGGCCTCCCTCCCCCACGGCAGGTCACGACACGCGGTGGCCGGTGCAGCCGCCGTCCTCCCAGCCGCCCGAGAGTCCTGGTGGCGCGGCGGGCGGCGCCGGCGGCGGGCCGCCGTCCCTGCTGCGCGACCTTCTCATGTCGGACTGACTGCGCCGCGCCGCTGCCCGTCCCCCCTCGCCCGCTCAGCGCGCGCCCGGCCGCCGGCGCCGGCCTGTGATAGCGCCCGCCCCACGGCCGGACTCTGATATACGTAAGCGGCCTCGCGGGCCGTCCTGCTGCCAGGCAAAGTGATTTGGACAAGCGAACTGGCGCCTGTGCTTTATTTTGGGGTGAACTCAGATACTCTGTTTGGCGGTCGTTTTTAGGTTTCTAGCTGGTGCGCCTGCCACGCGAATCGTATCGTCCCTTGTGAGAAGATGTGCGCGCGGGCCGATAGCGAGGCGAGCTGACGTCCGGCCATCTTTCTGTTATCAAATCGACCACGGCCGCCAGACGGGCGGAGTGGCCGCCGGCCCTACCTCTGCCGCCTTCCGACTCTGTCCGTCTCCGGGCGCGCCGCCGCCCCGTACCGGCCGCTCCGGCCGCCCGCCCAGCTCCCGGATAGCGCACACAGCCCCCGTTGGCATTTCCAAGTACAAATCGCTCCTGGCCCTGTGCAATGAACTGTACATATGATTGTTTTGTTGCGTGTCGGTGCGGTTGGTTGTGATGACACCATGAGGTACACAGTGGAAGAGTTTATTTTAGATATTGTGCACCAAAGTCTGTTACTATGGTTTCGTGCGGAGGCCGTCGCTCGCTCTCTCTCGTGTCTTTGTCAGTCTTCTGTATCCGTCTGCCTCTCTGTACTCTGTCTTCTGTCCGTCTCTCCTCTCTTTATCTCTGCGTATTTTCCTCTGTCTCTCTCGGTCTGCGCTCGCCAGCCGGCGGACGGCGCGCGCGCGGGTCGTCCGGCCTGCCCTGAGAATCAAAACACGCCGCTTTTGTTGTGATTGGGCCGGCGGGCGGCAGGGGGCGCGCGTCTCTGCCGGCGCGGGCCAGCGCCGCGCCGTGCCGTGCCGCCGCCGCTCTATTTTAGTACGGGCAGCGTCCGTGCGCGGCGCCACCGGCGGCCGCCGCCTCGGCATGGTAGGAAATAGCCCTTAGTGTTTGTACTCGGCCGCGGTAAATTATTGTACACTATTGTAAACCAATGTAAATAAGACAATGAATAACGAATACATTGCATTTACGGAGGACATGGATGGGAGGTTTTTCACTTTGGTAGGGTGTGATTCAGGTGATATGGTAAAATACCGCATGGAAGCTTGACAAGCGACAAAGTCAGCAAGAAACACATTCAGGGCGAAGTGCCGATCTCTTGATGGCCACTGCCACCACATATCACTAAGCTCATAATTCCCAGCCGTTCCATGCATTGGCTTCTCGTGTGTGCTGTAAACTGCCACCGCTTTTGCCATTTCAATTATATAGCCGGTTTTATGGATTGTGACTTGGGACTCTCCCTTGCACCCCGCCGCTACGTTTGTTTTGGTATTGCTATCAAATCAGTGCCCCGTTCGAACCATTTGGCTCTATTTCGCACTCTTCTCGCGTACTGTACGCGGGGACGATGCTTCATCTTTCGGTGAAGGAGCGCTGTTTCCTCACTCTCGTACCTAGCCCATACGCCCGTCCTGCATCAGTTTCCGATGCAGCAAAACTTTTGAAGCTAGAATGATTTCCATTGTAAGTATCACGCCCGTATAATTTCTTTAGCAAGCTCTTCCGGCCTAAAAAGGCCATTGCTGAGCTATGGATGATAGGATAGGGTGCAGACACTGGGTCTTACAGGACACCGACAGTGAGCCGCGGAGGTGAGACCGTCCCGGTGGGACCGGATTGCCCCGTTGGGACAGTCCGTCCGCCTCCCGAACGGTCACCCTGGAGAAGATAAAGTAACGAGTCCCGAGCCCTGTTCAAGTGCTCTGCGGCCGCCGCGGCTCCCGCGGCCGGGAGGCGGAGCCTAATTTCGGTTAGGTTGAACGGGTTGAACACCCTCGCGGCTGCGGCCGCTGCGGCCGGCGACGAGAATGGCACGGCTGTTTTGAAACGGGATGCTGATCAAAATTTTGTGTGTAATGGCTTTATAATGGCTTTATTACTTCAATTACTACCCTTTTGAAGCAAGTACTCCTTAACAACATGATAAAATCAACCGAAACAAAGAGCGAAATCCGCAATGTTTTGTCTCACGCGCGCAGCTTATGTCGAAGTTTCCCTGCGGTCGCTCCCGAGCGACCGCGGGAGCCGCAGGAAGAGCTACGCATTACCCAGAATGCTGCTCTCGCCTGATTGGCCGCCAGCTAAGCTCCGCCTTTTTGGCCGCGGGAGCCGCGGCGGCCGCAGACACTTGAACAGGGCCCCGGTGAGGACTTGACCTTATCAACCGGTTGTCAGCTGGGGTGACCACCAGCCCGGAAAGGGAGCGTGAGGGGGATGCGGATGGGTTTGTACTGAGGGTGGCGAGAATAGATGCCTGTAAGAGTCGCACGAGCCACGAGGGCATCCTCATGCGACGTTTCTCTCCCATAAAAATAACGGCCCAGGTCTTGGCTACGGGACATCCACTCCTGTGCTGCCACCTTAGTAGGCGCCCTTTGTTCAAATGTTCAGTTGAGGACTAAGTATTCTGAACTATACCGGTAGATGGCGCGCACGGTTCTAAACGTCTCGATGATCTGCCGCCGAGTGGATATGTGGTTCTCTCCGCGTATCATCTTACAGCGTCCCTACTCCCTCCTTCCCAAAGCACCCTGCTCCCGGAGGCCGGATGGCTGACACGTTGGTGTCGGAAGGGGGATGCAGGGTGTGCCGTTGCACCCCACCGAAAAGCATAGTGGTTGGGGGTGCGAACTTTTGCACCATAGAGACACTAATGTGACCTTTACAGGCCTGTTCAATCTGTCAGTTCTAAAATCTTATGGCCGGTCCGCTAAGGCCGAATGGAGATCTCACAGGCCAGCACGGCCCTGGAGGTCCCGCGGCGAACCCGGTGACCACAGGGCGCGGGGACTTTGGGCCCTACGCCGCATTGTGAGATCTCCATACTGGCTTTCAGAGGCCTCGCTGGCTGTGGAGGCCATGCCTAGCTCTGAAGAGCCCTTACTCTCTGAAATCTCTAGAGACAGCATATGAGGGTCCTATACGGAAAGAATCCTGGTGCCCCCACGACGGGCTTTGTTCACGCAGGCTTATGGGACTCCCCAGGGCTCCAGGCAGACTCCTGATGGGTGGGTGGGGGGGGGGGGATGGCACCACGCAGGCTTCTGGATATCATACCGGCTCTTACGGATCCAAGCAGCTTCTGATGGCTCATTTAATGTCCGTTGGGGTCCGACACTGGCTGCTGAGGGCCCACACAGCTCCAGGCAGACTCCTGGAGCCCCAAGCCGGCTAAAAGGTCGATGCTGGCCTCGAAGAGCCCCATGCAGCATTGCAGGCCCGTGAGGTCCCACGCTGGCTCTTGGGCACCCACACGGGCCTCGTGGGCTCCACACAGACTTCTTGGGAAATTATACCAGCCTTTGCGGCCTCAGGTAGGCTCCTGGGGCTCTCACATTGGCCTCAGAGGGACTCCTCACAGGCTCCTGGAGGTCACATTTTGGTCTTCGAGAGCCCACACCGGCTTCTGGGATCCGTGCTGGCCCCTTGAGGCTGGAGGTCTGTTCCAGGGTCAAGAGACCCGCACGGCCTCAGAGGACCGAGTTGGGCTGCCAATGACGGTCTATGCGCACCAGTAGGTACAGAGTACGTAGTCGAAAGTTGAATACCTACAGGGTGTCCCATAAGTTCGTTCTCACCTAAATTTTACGCTTTTAGGCTCTCTTGCTTAAAGGCACGCTGAAATTGGATCGTTACTGAGCTTACGTGGTTGCCATGGTTGGTAGAAATATGCTCCACAGTAACTAATTTCTGTAGACAAAATATTTTTTGCTAGAGAGCCCGTTTCCTACACAGACGGCTAACGCCGCAACATAGAGGTCTCCAGGGGCGGCGCCACGGGTTTTCGATAGGGGGGGACGGGGACCGGGGCTTGCCTGACCGAAATTCCCAAAAATAGATACCTACTGATCGTGTATGCAAAAAAAAAACGAGGCACGTAACGCCGCGAAACTTGGCAAAGCCCAAAACACATCGAATGGTGCATCCCGTTCCCAAACTTATCCTAGGACACCTAAAATCGATCACCTTTTCAAGCATCCTTGCCTCTAAATCAAAATTTGCAGTCTTGCCAACTCGAAGCTGGTTTCCTACAAGCTGCGAATTGCTTAGGTATGAGTAGCAATGCCAACTATTCTTACGTTTCGTACTTTCAAATTCTCGATCTTACGTCTGCTCAGCTTCATGGCTTCACCATCATATAGTCATGGAGGAAAAGTGGGAATGTCTTCTGCTCTGACAAGTGCGCCAAAACTGCAATATAATTTCAGAATCATGACATCACCACCTGATCCATATGCAACGGGCAGGGTGCAGGTAATGGCTAGCCGTCAGTGGTCATGACATCGGTGGTCACTCAAAAGGTCATGCTAGGTCATGGAAGGTCACCAGTCGTTATTTGATCACACTTTCTGATGGATTTTACTTACCAAGAGCTTCGCGGGAAAAACGAGCGCATGCAACGTTGAAAAAAATTGAGTGAAAGGGTCTCAAGTCCGGCGACCTCTGCAGGTGAAATGCCCCAGGGTAGGATTCCGGTCCTTGTTGATTAACTTCGTCAAAAATGGCAGTAGAGCTGTGATGTCGGCACCATTGTATTCGTCATAATCGAGCTGGCACGACCTGCATCGTTCTCATATTCACCCTCCAATCGTAACAACTACAGCAGGGATTGGCAAATGGCGGGGCACCCCCTTTGGGAGGTAATGAAGTTCTCTGGAAACCTCATCACCTTATAACTACAGGCATCACAGCTCCACACCTTTTGCAGATGGCCAGGACCCCCTGCGATACATCCCAACAGCAATCTTTATTCAGAACCTGCCTTGATTAACCAACGATGCATTAAATGCGACGGATAACTCTACAATGCATTATTATCAACCATTGAACGGGCCTCACCGATAGGGGGGTACTGTACCCCCTAACTTTCGATAGCGGGGGACCTGTCCCCCCCGTCCCCCCCGGTGGCGCCGCCCATGGAGGTCTCCAATGCGGGTAGGGGAGAACGGGGTCAATTGTAACATTTTTTGCATTTTATCATCTGGTGCAAACACGTTTGCAGTTATAAAACTCTTTCTTTTATTTTCAGAAACTATGATGTTTTGTCTTTAAAATGCTGTTAAAACATTTCCGAAATACCTAACTTATTTTTTGGGTCAAAATTGTTGTCCGAAAAAGTCAACTCATCTGTTACAATTCACCCCAGATACGGGGTCAAAAGTAACACCACCCGGGGACAATTGTAACATGCTAATTTACAGGCTACAGCAACACAATTTTTCCCAAAACTTTGATTTAACAAAAGTATTGAACACTTGTTCATCTTCCCAGACTTGGTAGAGACGGTTCTTCTCAGGAAAAAAGGCTTAAAACCTCGCACTTATACAGGGGTTGGATGGACCTCCTCTCCCTCGGTTTTTTCGCAAATAAATCGCGTAAAAAGCTGCCGATTGCGACAAAACTTACAGCTCTCTTAATTCTAGCAATGTTTCATCTCCCTTGAAAATTTGACGACTGACATAATGGCCACTGACCTATAACCTGTTACATTTGACCCCTGCAAAAATGTTACAATTGTCCCCGTCGCGCCTTGACATATTTTAGACGAAACTGGCGCATAAAGATGTTGCATGTACAGCATTTAATGCTTTCAATTTATGCACAAAAAGCCTGCCAACGCTTACACAAGGTCTGAAGTCGATATCTTTTCAATGGCGGGAATGAGCTAATAAAATATAACGGTATAAAAATTTATAAAATGCACTCAAAAACACATAACTGTGCACAGCCATCGACATACCCGGCACTTTCGCTTCAAACTCCGTTGGGAAAGGCAGTATAGAATTACGCATTTTCGGTCTTAACATTAGCGCATTCTATTGGTAAGTTTATGAATTATTAACACTGTTACAATTGCCCCGTGTTACATTTGACCCCGCTCTCCCCTACGTCTCGGTATTTAGTCAGCACGTGACCATTCGCGACGATTGAGGGTGATTGAGGCCTACCAGTCTGTAGACAATGTCCATCGCTAACTGGA